CTTGAGCCCAGGAGTTGGAGGTTGCTGTGAGCTGTAATGACAGGGCACACTACCCAAGGGGGACAGCTTGAGGCTCTGTCTCAAAAAAAAATAATAAATAAATAAAAACAAAATTAGTTATGGAAATTTCCCTTTTCAGTTAACATCTTTCTTATTAAAAGCGCTAACTTAAAAAATATGTTTATGCCTCTTGAAGTACACAAGTCCTTGGATTTTTCTAAAAGTCCACGTGCTGTATAAGGGACATGTACGGGGTGTTGGCCAGATACGGTGTGAATGGAAAGCCTGTGGTCCATGTAGTTTGAGATCAGCTTTTACTGTAAACAGTTTCACTTTTCAGTTTGTATGTTTTCTGTTTCTTTGTCAATGTCTGTTGATTGGACTCCTTAGGCAAACAGTTCCCAACCATTTTAGCTTATCATTTGTTCACAATGGCATTTTAGGGGAAGAAATTGAAATTTAAGTAATTAAAAGATAATTTTTTTTTTTTTTGAGACAGTGTCTCACTTTGTCGCCCTTGGTAGAGTGCTATGGTGTCATAGCTCACAGCAACCTCAAACTCTTGGGCCTAAGTGATTCTCTTGCCTCAGCCTCCCAAGTAGGTGGGACTGCAGGTGCCCACCACAATGCCCAGCTGTTTTTTGTTGTAGCTGTCATTATTGTTTAGCTGGCCTGGGTCGGGCTCAAACTTGCCAGCCTCAGTGTATGTGGCTGGTGTTGTAACCACTGTGCTATGGGCGCCGAGCCTAGAAGATAAATTTTAACTTAAGTTGCTACTAGATAATTAGGGAGCTAAAAATTAGGAGTTCCCACTGGCCATCATTTAAAAGTTTGATTCTTAGTCTGAACTCTAGTAGTTTAATTAGTAAAACAAAGCCTACTCTGTTGGAAGAAAATGTGTTGATATTGAAGATTAATCTAAGAAATGTATAATGGAGTTGATTAAAAGGCAGACCCCCCCCAACAAAATGTATTTATTTTAGAAAGAGATATCTTCCACAGGTACTAAATGTATACTGTGTTAACTACTGGAAATTCAGGGTGATTTGGTAATAACTGCTTCTGTGTTAATAAAAAGATGAAAATTTCTTGCTTCTGTGTATAATCTTATTTGATCTTGTAAGTCAATTTCAACCATAGTCCAAGAGAAATAGGCTGAAAAAGACACTACAGTTTTTTAAAAATGTATGTTTGTAAAGTAAAGATTGCCCAGCTGAAAAATTCTAATTTTGAAAACCACATATTTTTGAAAACCTATATTGTGGTAAAGACTTTAATTTGCAAAACTTCTCCCAGGACTTCTGGGTTTGTAAGAGTTCCTTGCAAGAAATAATAATGGAAACTTTAGGGCTGATAGTTCAGCAAAAGACCCTGTAGATCTGTCTTAAGAGGAAAAAGAACAAGGCTGGAGAGAGCAGGCAGGTAGATGAAATTGCTTGGGATCTTGGTTTGGGGGTCAGAGGAATAACAGGAAACTGAAGGATGACCCAGACCACCTGGTCTTTATGAAGGGAGTCAGATTGTTCTGTGGGAGCTAAGGCTGGCTTGAAGACTGCAAGCACTGGGAGAGCAAAGTGTTCAGCACTGAGAAGTAGCAAGGAGTGATGGTGGAAAGGGTCACTGGCAAGGTGGGTGGTGACAAGAGAGGAGTCAGGGTATAGCTTTTTCCAAAATGTCCATAAAGAACAATCAGCCAGCACACATGCAGAACTTCTGTAAGACACAGAGGAAGCTTATTCTGGAGTCAAGAGTCCAGAAGCTACCAATAGCCATGAATAAAACAAAATAATAAAATAATCACCACAAAAGTTATCTTTAGGCCAGGCGCAGTGGCTCATTCCTATAATCTCAGCACTTGGGAGGCCAAGGTGGGGGCAGGGGGTGGGAGTGGTGGATCTCCTGAGCTCATGAGTTCCAGACCAGCCTGAGCAAGAGGGAGACTCTGTCCCTAAAAATAGCCCAGTGTTGTGGCAGGTGCCTGTAGTCCCAGCTACTTGGGAGGCTGAGACAAGAGGATTGCTTGAGCCCAGGAGTTTGAGGTTGCTAGAGCTAGGCTGATCCATGGCACTCAACTCTATAAGACCCTCAAAAAAACAAACAAAATAAAACAAAACAAAAAAACCCTTAGCTTCGTGCCCGTTAACTCAGTGGTTAGGGTGCCGGCAACATACCCTGGGGCTGGTGGGTTCGAACTCTGCCCATGCCTGCTAAACGACAATGACAACTACAACAAAAAAATAGCCTGGCATTGTGGTGGGCACCTGTAGTCGCAGCTACTTGGGAGGGTGAAGCAAGAGAATCGCTTAAGCCCAAGAGTTTGAGGTTGCTGTGAGCTGTGACACATAGCACTCTACCAAGGGTGACATAGTGAGACTCTATCTCAGAAAAACACACACACACACACAACTCTGGGGTGGTTTCTCATTGCTCCTAAAAGGCCTAACTCCATTAACATGGATGACTACCTAGTCCTACATGGCCCTACTTCTCAAGCCTCATTGTTTGCTTTTTTAACAAGTATGCTGGATTTTATTTAATAATAGAAGAGTTCATTACAGGTATTTTGCATCATTTCAAACTTTACACTTCAAAGTAATTTAAAAATAAGATTGGGTACATGACTCACACCTGAAATCCTAGCACTATGGGAGGCCAAGGTCAGGAGTTCACAGTGTGGCATAGTGGTATGTGCCTGTTGCCCGAGCTACTCAGAAGGCCACAGCAGGAAGATTGCAAGAGCCAGAGTTTGAGGTTGCAGTAAACTATGATGAAGCCACTGCACTCTACAAAAGGGTGACAGAGTGAGACTCTGCCTCAAAAATAATAATAATAGTAATAATAATTTCAGACTTAGAAAAAAGGGTGCAAAAGTAGTATAGAAAGGGTTCTCACATACCCTTTAGTCAGCTTCCTCAAATGTTAACATCCTTAACCACTTTTCAGTTAGAAAAACTAGGAAATGCAATTGAATACAATACTGTTATCTAATCTACAAAACTTATTTAAATTTTGTTAATAGTCCCAGTAGTAGGGTTTTTAAAAAACAAGATCCCACATTGCATTACATTGTCATATCTTCTTAGTTTCCATTAATTAGGGACAGTTCCTCCATCTCCCTTGGACGTTCATGGCACTTGAAGAGCACAGGAAAGTTATTTAGCCGTGTGCCTCATTTGAGTTTACTGATTTTTCTTCATGATTAAATTCAAGTAATGATTTTTAGCAAGAATGCCACAGAAATGATATTGTGCCCCTCTCAGTCCTTCCTGTCAGGGGACAAATGTTGTCAATTGTCTTGTTACCGGTGATGTTAACTCACATCACTTGAGTAAGGTGCTGTCTACTTGGTTTCCTCATCTTAAAGTTAGTATTTTTCCCTTCATAACGAATAAGTATCTTGTAGCAAGATAACTTGAGAATAAGTAAATATTCTGTTTTTCATCATGTTTCCCCACTACTTTTATCATCTATGGATGATTCTTGCTTGAAACAGTTGTGATTATGGTATTTACCTAATGATGGGTTCATCTTTCTTTCTATACGCATTAATGGAATTCTACTAGAAGGAAAACTGTCCCTTTTCCTCCATTTACTTATTTATTTACATCCATTTGGATATTTGTTATTTTTTATGAGTTATATTGGTTACTACTATTTTTGTTACTCAAATCATCCCAGATTTGGACATTAGAACCTCTCCTGTGTCCTTTCTTGTCTTCATAATTTTTTGACACTTCTTTACTTTCTGACACCACAGGATGCTCCAGGCTTAACTCATAATT